GAGAGAGAGAGAGAGAAAGCTTTCGCTCCATCCCAAACAGCAAGGCCAGCCATCTTACTCGCCAGTTAGAGAAACTGACCGGGTTCCGTTCAGAAGTTGGCTAAACAACAACTTCCAATGCCTCCCGCTGCAAGACCTCGACCTCTACGTGTGTTCGTGCACGGAGATGATTGCCGGGGATGACACGAAGGTTGCGAAAGGCGTTACTAACTGCACCCTCGTAGCTTGCAGAAACCCGTGCAATCCCCTTCTCTGGCAACTTAGCCCAACATGCCCTCCAGCAGGCACGAACGACAACTAGGAAAAACAAGACTTCCCAGAACCTGTTGCTTTCCTCCAAGGGAGAAACCGGGAACCCTGAAGAAGCCGAGGGTCTCAGCAAAGGTGAAGGTGGGGCGGGAAGGCAGCGGTGCACGGCGAACCTCTTTTCCGGTTCTCATTCGAATTCTCTTTGGCGAGAGGATCCCTCCTAAGTCGCGGCTAGCATTGCCATTGCCGGACACCGATTGGGAACCTGGAGTATAGCTACAGCCTTCTACTCCGAATTGAACTGGAGCCTCTTGGTGGCGGTGGTGGTGACGACATCCTCATCCTTCCAAAAGTCTGTCTCTTTATGGTTTTAACCCTTTTGCCACTGACATGGATGCCTCCCGCTCTAGGATTTTTCTTCCTGTTTTCCCCAATCTCTCTAAGCAATTTGCAAGGGCGATCCCAGATTGGAATTCAGTGCAGTAACTTTAAAGTTATGGAGAAGATGAGAGCCTCATCTCTGCTCCCTGCTAACATTTTCTACACCAGAATCCCCCAAGGAGCTCTGGTGACTGACTTTTGAGTTTCCCACTCTTAGTCCAGGATTTCCATTACTATACCAATTGGGTCTCCAATAAAAAAAATACTGTATAGATGTGGATATAGACCAGGGGTGCTCAAACTTGGCAACTTTTAAGAATTCTGGGAGTTGAAGTCCACAAGTCTTAAAGTTGCCAAGTTTGGAGACCTCTGATATAGACATAGAGACATACGTGTATTTGTAGTATACCAGGGATGGGCAACTATGGCTTTTACCACCTGTGGACTTCAAAACCATGCTGACTCCATGCTGGCTGAGGAATTCTAGGAATTGAAGTCCACAAGTCTTAAAAGTTGCCAAGTTTGGGGACTCCTGCCTAGAGGCAGGGACTGTTTTCGTGGAAATTCCATGAACCCCCCCCCCCCTCAAATTTAGTTCAGCTACACTAGCTTTCCTCAATGTGATATCTCTACATGGGGTAAACTGTGCAGGTAGTTCTCAACTTACGATCATTCATTTAACCTCAGTTCAAAGTTAAAATGGCTCTAAAAAAAACCATGTCCTGTAAGTTATGACCATCACACCACCCCATGATTTGGCTGTTTGGCAAACTGGCTTGCATTTATTACAAGCAAAGTCAATTTTTTTTAATGACCGTGATTTGCTTAATGACCGCAGTAAAAATTTGGTCCAATCACATGAAGACTTACTTAAAAACCAGAGATCAAAATTCTGATCCCAATTGTGGTTGTAAGTTATGGACTACCTGTAGTTATGGACCTTCTATTTACTTACTACAATCTGGAGATCAATGCTTAGCGGTATAATTGTCAATTGTTATTCCCCGTAAATCTAAATAATTGTATTCTAGTTATGATTATTCAGCCTTTCTTCCCTTGGTAGTAAAAGGCACAATAGCTGGGAATTCTGGGTTTTGTAAGCCTGGCATCGTCTGGCAACTGCTAGATCATAAAAAAAAAAATACAAAAGATATGAAGCTGCAAGGCAAAAATATTTTATTGTTGAAAATTAGAAAAGAATTCAACCATGGAAAATTAGGGTCAGTGTAATTCCATTCCATTTAACATTTTGAATAGTGATAGTCAATCTGACAACATCAGAAAAGAGATTAAGAAGGAATTTCTCTCAGTGCAGCTGCATTTGTGATTTTTCAGTTACAAAGTGCCCTTCCTCTTCTTCTCTTGCTTGCTTGATCATTAGGCTGATCAAAATGCTATTTGTTGTTTCATTGTGCCAATAGCTTTTACAGAATAGTGCATTAATAATCCTACTGCAACAATCCGATGCAATGCAATATTGGAGCATTATTTGACTCACGCTTCCTACTACATCATATTTTTTAATCCTCTGAATGCATTGCATTTCTACACCAGCGAGTTGCTAAATATACAAGCTTTTATCATTAGGGCCTGTGGTTGTTCCAGGTGATAGGCAAGGCTGTTCTTTATCCCAACTGCTTATTATGTATGTGCCCCCACTCTTTGAGAAAGTTTAGATCAGAAACTCCCATTATATTCAGCAGAACATCCTCCAAGAAAACACGTTAAGTTGCAATGAAAGAAAGCATGGCTTATAGCAACGCAATCTTAAAACACGCTGACAAAAAAATAGGTCTAGTTTAAGTGCTAAAAATGGGGGGAGAAGGGAGGGAGGAAGAGGAGGAAGGAAGAAAAGATAAAGATAGATAGATAGATAGATAGATAGATAGATAGATAGATAGATAGATAGA